AAAATTTATATTTTAAAGTATTCAAGAGATAATAAATCTAACCCTATTTTTTCTACTGAATAAAAGAAAGTTAATTTTATTTTAATTTATTCTTTTTAATGTTTTAATAATAAGTGATATAATAATAAAATAATATAATAATAAAATAATAAAATAATAATAATAATAATAATAAAATATATATAAATTACATAATGGAAACAGTGCAATTAAGTTCATCTGAAGATGATGATATATATTTAAATTCTGTTGCAAAATTGAAAGGTAAATATACATATTTTCTTTTTATCTTTACTTTTTAATTCTTAATAATATTGTTTAAATATTGTTAATTTAAACAAGGAAATTAAATTATACTATATAATTAAAATATAATTCTAGCCTTGAAGAAAAAGCAGACATTACTACAATGTAAGGATCAAGAAAAAGAAGAGGAAAAACAAGCAAATAATGAAGAATTGAAGCACGTCTAATACATATAGAATAAAGTTCATAAAAAAATTAGTTTTTATAGAATTTTATAATTTTCTATTTCATGTATTATATTTCATTAATGTTTTTTTTTCATTATTATAATAAATATAACATTTTCAATACATATTTTATATAAATTAATAATTTACAGATGTGAAATTTTTAATGATACTGTTTTAAAACAAGGAATAAATCGAAAGATAAAAAACAAAAAATATAGTTCTAAGCATCGATCAGCAAAACAAAAACAAGTAAGTTATGTCATTAATATTTATATTATATATATATAAAATATATCTATATCATATATCTAAAAAGAAAAACAAATTTGTTTTAAATAATGACCTATAATTTTTTAAAATATAATTTTTTTATTAATTTGTTCAATTAAGATATTCTATATTAATATTTTTTTATCTCATATTTTTAGAGAAAAAATATATCCGAGACAGATTCAGATTTAGAAATTGTTTCTATAGAAGAGAAAAATTTATCAGAAAATGATTTATATATAGTTGAAGATAATATAACTGAATACTCAAATCCAAATGAGAATTATGAAATAAATATTAAAATTCTTTGGCGATCAAAAAATATATATCGTTTGAATATTTGTCAAGTATGTACATATAACATATTTCATAATTATATATAAATTTTAAATCATAAAATTTTTTAACTATGATTTATTTTATATAAAAATTATTTTATATCTAATAATTTTATTGTTTAATGCATTTATCTTAAAAATAAAATTAGATGCATTATTTCAGAATGAAAACTTTGGACAAATTTTTAAATATTTTGCTAATTTAGAGCAAGTATCAATTGATGAAATTTTAATAACAAAAAAAGATAAAATTATTAAAAGAAATGATACTCCAATTTCCATAAATTTATCTGTAATAGACATACTTGGTAAATTATTTGTTGAATTTTTTAATATAAAGTTATAGTTTATTTTAATATTTTTTTCAATAAGAATAGAATAAAATATTTTTACAGAAGGAGGTATTATTAAAAAAGACAATACGATTTCAAACAATGTGATGGAAAAAAATGATAATAATGTCTGTATGATAAAGATACAAACAACAAACAAAAAAAGTTTAACCATTTTTGTTAAACGAGATGAAAATTTCAAAACTTTGTTAGAGAAATGTGCTCAAGAGTTCAATATTGAAAAATCAAAAATTAAATTGTATTTTGACGGAGAATTAATTGCCATAATGGATACACCTGATTCTTTAGAAATAGAAGATGAAGCTTGTTTTGACCTTCAATTTTCTTCCTAATTAACATATTACATAATTAATTAATATATATATAGTTCTATACATTACTTTAATAAATTATTTATTTTAAAAGAAAATATTGAAAGAAAGAAAGAATTGATTTCAAATTGATTAATTTGCAATTTTTTATAAAATATATAAGTATTGATCATGAAATTAAAATTATAATACAAAAATTGTATTATAATTATAATAATATGATACTATAAATAATAGTATGATACTATTAAATTTTATTATAAAAAAAATTTATGTTAGAATTAGTGGTGGCTCATCAGAAGGTGGTAATTCCATAGTTTCTTGCGCTTCAACAACTCGACTTCTAATTACATTTCCTTCTGCATCAGTTTCATCAATCGTTATCAAAATATTTGAAATGACAGGCATAGATTTTCCTTTATTATTTTCCTCCTTTGATTTTCCTTCTGTTTCGTTTTCTTTATCTTTTGTCTCAGTTTCATTTAAATCTTCAAAAATCTAATAAATAACGAATGAAGTTATTTTATACATATATATATATATATATATAAATATATATAAATATATATAATTATATTATATATATATATAAATTATTTATCTTTTATAAATATTAAAATATTATATCAAGTTTAAAGAAATAGATTACCTCAATTTGCGGTACATTAGAATCTTTATTTAATTTAATTTTAAATTTTTTATTTTGTATTTTAAATTGATTGATAGAAGGATTTAAATCTTCTTCAACAGCTTCATATCTAACCATTTGTAATCTGTAACATCCATCTTTATCATGAGTATATTGAAATCTTGTATGACCACTAGGTAATTGCAATTGATGTGTTTCAATTAAATGTTTTGTTAATCTATAGCTTTTTCTATATTTTATTGGACATTCATGACAGCAATACCATCGCACTTGCATACTATGAACTCGTTCAATATGCCTTAAAATGTAGTTTTATTTTTAAAAAATAATGCAAATTTTTTTATAAATAATGAAAATAAAATTTTTTTTTGATCTTTTTTATTTAAATTTTCATTAAATAAAAATTTCATTTAAATACCTATCGAGAGTATATGCACCCTTGCATTTATATAGACATCCTTCAAAATGACATGAAAAATTAGGTCCATTTGTATGAACTGTCATGTGTGAATCTAAATCTTGTTGAGATTTAGCAGCATGATTGCAAAGTTGACAAGGAAAACTTCTGGTAGAAACATGTCGATATCTAACATGTTTAGCTAAACTGGCTGGTGATTCACAACTCATATCACAAAGACTACATTTATAATTAAAAACATGCATTTGCATGTGATCTCTCAATATTCCTTCAGTAGGATAAAACTTATTACAATGAGAACACTGGAATCCTTGAACTAATAAAAATTATTTTTATATAAACTTAATGTTTTAATATAAATTATTATAAATATTAAAAATAATTTACTTATCAAATCCTAACATTTATTCTAAATATTTTTATAATTAAAAAAATTACTCATAGTATTTTAATTGTAATATGTATAAGTGAATAAAAATTTTTTAAAATTTTACCATCAATTGGAATTTGTCGTTTGCAATGTACATGAAATTTTGTATTAGAAGCAAAAGTAGCACCACAATCAGGACAAGCAACAATTTTTTCTTTTGTATGATGTCGTATATGATCTCTCAATTTGTATAAATTAGGATATAAATTGCTACAACCTGTCCATTTGCATTCTAAACCTCCTTCAACTTTGTTACCTCTTGGACCTTCCTGAATATGAGCAGCTACATGATATAAATATAATTGATAATTTCTAAAATATTTCAAACATTCTTCCCAGCGACAAAGAAGTGGTGCTGGAAGATCTACAACATTTTTCCATTCAGAATCTCTACAACATTTCTGAAATATATAATCTATAATTTATATGTTATTATATATATATACTTTTTTCTTATAAATACTTATATACTCATATATTATTCCAATTTATTTTTAAATCAAATAAGTTGAAAATAATATAAAACTAAATTTTTAAATTTTAATTTAATTAAAATTTATATTTAAATAATATCATTTTTTTATTTTAAATAAAAATAAAATATATTATTATATATATTTATATATGTTTACGTTATTTTATAA